GTTAAAAAAATGTTTCTTGGAAATATTTCAGTCTCAATATTTCATTATTAATTTGTACTTGCACTTATATACAAACTAATAAATTGCAAAGCTAGCAAACTATTAACTAACTAACTAACAGTAGAGTAACAAACTCAACTAACTTTAACTTTAAATAAGCTAGCTAATTCTCAACACAAATATGTCACTCAATCGTTAATGATTTAACGGCACAATGACTTGGCAGTTCCATTCCGTGATTGTTTTGATGCCTAAAAAAGTCAAAATGACGTAGTTTTGCTTGAAGAGATTTAGTTAAAATTTGAGTTTAGTTGGATTTGAGCTCCAAACCTTTGGTAACAAAGGATAAAGCTTAACCACTCAACTTAAGATTTCGGTAACATACTTACAAATTAGATGCTTATGTAGTTAGTTGTTCATTAGTGCTGGAATTAATGGCTTATGTACCATGAATGTATCTACTGCTAAAACGACGAGGTGAGTATCCTACTGGATTAATTTAAGCGCCATAAGTTATGATTACACTTTTGTAATTAGTTGGCATAATCTAAAGAAGTAGGTGCAAAAGTAGAAGCTAGAAATTAATTGCATATACAAGTAAATTAATTTCATTCTTCTTTCATTACTTTTATGAAAGCTGTTAGAATTAAATGACCCAATTTTTTTTTTTTTTTTTGAAACAAGCCATGAAGTTACCATCAAAACAATGTGAGGCTTGTAGGCCCTACAGTACAGAACAGTACAATTCATTTGATCCTAATAAAAAGAAAATATAGAATAGGGTTTTGATACGTAACAGATCTTGCACTTATAAGATTTAGTGAAATTTTCTTTTACTATATCATGGTTTTTCCTTTTTAATTTTTCATAAAAAATTTCGTATTTTTTTAATCATTCCGATAATTATAATAAATGTATTACGAAAAGCCCATCACTCCAAGTTTTATGGTAGAAAAATTTGAAAGTGAGATTTTGAGAGGTTTTTGTGCATGATGACATTCCATATCATTTTCATTTCTTTTTGTAAATTTATATTTTTTTTCTCTTGATCATTAGAATAATTTGGATTTCTCTTTTTACATTTTCTTGGCTGTAACCAATGAGATCAGGGAGCGTAGAAAACTAAGGGGAAAGGTATTGTGATCGAGGAGTAAATTGAAAACCACTGGAATTAAGTTCTCTTGTGATAGACAGCTTTGATGTTTGTGCCAAAACATGTTTAAGTAATTATGATTTACTTGATGAAAATTATTTTTTTCTCTAAACATGTTTAAATATGTTTTAAGTATTCAAATTTCAGTAGGCGAAAATGATGTAATCTATATTCCGTTGTGACTCGATCGTAAGCAAATTAAGCAGGTCAAGAAAGGATATAGAAGATGGGATAATTAGGTGGAAGTCAAGTATGAATTATATGAGACAGTGGACAGCTTTTTATCATTTGATTTATATATAAATATTTATAAGATAATTATAAAATTATCCCCTAATTTTAGAAAAAGTTACATTTTATCCTCCCCTAAAAACAATTACTTGTTAGCCGACGGAGGCAGATGTTTTTTGAATGAGAAAGGAAAATCAAACAAGCGAACAGATTTCAACGTTGACAGAAAGAAAGCCTACATAAATAGTTATTAGTAACACTTCTAATTATTTGTAACAATATTGTGCCGCAAAACCCTTAAATAAAAAGATAATTAAGAGATAAGTAATAGTAAAAACGAAAATACTCGACACACACAGATGTTCGTGCTATGTACTTACTGTAGGGAAATGTACAAAAATATGATAACGACTAAGTATGGACAGAGATTCAATTCGACGAGTTTTTGCAGTAGTTGATCAATTTAGGTTGGAATGAGTCAACTTTTTAAAATAATTTTAAGTTTTGGTTGACCTTTAAGAGTATAAATTCGGATCGAAGTTAAATTTAGAGAAAAAAATATTTGATTTGAATTAAAAATATAATTATATATTATATATTTAATTATAATTATAATTATAATAATGTTTATTTTATATTTTTTTAGTTATATCATTATTTCATTGAATAAAATTAAATATATATATATAGTGTTACATGGAAATTTTATTTAAAAAATAAATCGAGTAAAATGAAGATACCTTTCATATATTCATTTTTTAATTTTAAGGTCTCTTCTTTTTAGAAAAAAAAATATGAAGATACATTTCATTAAAATTCAGTAAAATGAAGGATTAAAACAACTTTTCTATGAATGGTTAGTTTAATAAATAAGTTACATAAAGATATAAATTCTTAATTTAAAATTCAAACACTACTTTTTTAATTTTGTTTGTGTAAAACATGAATAAAAAGGGTAACTTTCTGTAGATTTTCTTCCAGTGTTTATTTGACTATAAATATAAGAATATATGGTGGTGCAAAGTACCATCCACCACGATCCGAATTCCAGGTGCCAATCTCCAGCTTTCTTTGTTGTCTGTGATTCCTTGCGTACTTCTCTCCTAGTTTTAGCTAATGGAAGAAGTATTTAAGAACCTAAAGGGCATGACTTATGTCTCCGACCCAAATGCCAGTGACTCCATCACTAACTATACAAAGAAGAGCGCCGCCGCCTCAACATATACCGCCGTTCCCACCGCCGCCACAGCGGCGAACAAGAGGTCTCTCAAAGGAAATGGTGGCTTCGGTGGAACAATGAGGTACCGTGGCGTTCGCCGCAGGCCTTGGGGGCGTTATGCTGCTGAGATACGAGACCCCCAGTCCAAGGAACGGCGTTGGCTCGGGACTTTTGACACCGCCGAGGAGGCTGCATGCGCCTACGACTGTGCAGCTCGAGCTATGCGTGGGATCAAGGCTCGAACCAATTTTGTCTACTCGGCGAGCGATCATTTCCTTCCACCTTGTACCTTCTCGAAGCAGTCACAGTCATCCAGCAGGGACATTAACTGCATCCGTCATCAGTTCGGCCAATCTTCTAACTGGCCATCGCTGGCAAACCAACATTCCGGTGACTTCTCCGTTGGGTCTTCTGCTCAAAGAAACGCTTCTCCGAACATGGTTTTATTCCGCAACCTCTTGAATTCATCTAATTCATCTCTCCACGCGCCGGCTCCTCAGTCTCTGGCGGACTATATTCCATTCGTCAACGGAAATGCTTACTCTTCTTCGTTTTCTTTCACTTTTCCAGCTAATTCAAGCGTTTTGCCCGGTGCATCTTTGCTGAAATCCTATACCAACAACACTACTCGAAGGGCAACCGATAGCGTATCCGATTCTTTCACTGGCACAACCATGACGCACACTCTCCAGGAAACCGTCGATGATATGGAATTCTTCCAGCAGGAGCCTTCAGATTCCGGCTTGTTGCAGGAAATAATTCAAGGGTTCTTACCGAAGAAATCAGGTGAACGTAAAGTTACCTCGAACTGCACTCAACATCCAATAGCAGTTCATGTAACCGAGTTGAAGAATGAACATTTAGGTTTCTATAATGCCGATTACAATCAAGGATTCCCTCAACAGGTGGAGAGTTTCAGTGGAGTCACTGGCTCTGAATCGGTACCCTATGCTAATGAAGTACCAACGAAATACCTGCAGGTAGGTCAAGACTGCTTGTTAGATGATATCTTTCAGTACCCAGATTTCATGGGTGCCTTAGCAGCTAGGGCTCAAAATGCTGGAGCACATCAATATGTTTAGGGTTTCAAGCTTTTCGTTACTTAGATGGGAGATTAAAATCATCATGTTTTTATGTTGTAATCTTTATAACATGTAATGGTAATTCCTTGACGAAATCGAAATCTTGTAGGAATGTAATTTTTTTTTTGAGTTTACGTATAGTATGCAAATTCCTTGTTCATTTAAGCATGGGAAATGATAAAAAAAAAAAAACAGAATGTGTTTCTTCTTTAGTGGGAACAAGTTCTGAGCGATGGTGGTTTTGAATCGGGTGGGGATAGCATAAATTGCGTTGACCTTGGAACTCTAAAGTTTGATATTGTCTGCGTCTTGCATGATATGTTCTGGTTTTTACATTATAAACGCGTTGCCTTTCTGGGTATTTTTTCCTTACTCTTTCGAGTTTTGCAAACCCTAAACATAAGAGAAAAGTTTAAAAAAATCTACTTCTTTCCGTTGGAACAACGAAAAGGTAACAAGACAACATAAGAGCTCGTGGTTGCTCTTGATTAATGCGGATACATCAGGGGGATTTAGGGTTCACAACGGATAGGGTGGAGACGGTTTTGCATTACTTGTAAGGTATATCATATTGTCTCAAATTGGTCTCTATTTAAAATATGAAAGTTTTAAAGGTCAATATTCATTTAACATCTAATGTATATGTACAATCTTAATCAATTTTAATCTCAAAGAATCAATGTATATTAAATGAGAAAAGATCTATACTTCAATTTTAATTTTTTTGAGATATAATAGTGGCAACACGTAATTTCACAATCTTATCATATATAATTTTTTATTAAAATATATATTAAGGGTATATAGGGATATTTTTGTAAAATATCACTCTGAAAATTTGTATAGCGGTGGATGAAACTATTTGGTTAATTTTGGGATTATGTTAAATTCAATACAATAAACAAAGATTCAAAGATGTAAAAAAGCTAGAAAATACGAAACTGGGTGGAAAGGTATTGGACTGATGCTTTTGAGTCGAGGGATTTAAATTGTGATCGTTATCGCGGTACTTTTGTTGTGATTGTGGACTTAACGGATCCTATTGTGGCTTTTAGACAGCGACGTTACAATATATAGTGGCTACTATTCCGATAGCGGATATCTATTTAAATCCCTGCTTTTGACATGAAGCTATTTTTGTAATACTTTACCAAGAATCTTAAGGGGCATTACAATTTGCATATGATCTGCACATATTCTGTTTGTAGAGATTATTATTTTCCCTGCAAGAATTATACTTCTTTGATGTTTCTGGAGTGTCTTGTGTTGAAATATTACTTTGGTTAATAACATCTTAATAAATTTGATTTGTACTGATATATTATTTTTCTATGCAACAGGGATCTAGCTGGCTGAGCATGTCCCGAATCCGCTGCATACTGCACGGCATTGATTTGAAAACTTGTATCTTTCTATTTGTACTAGTTTCTACGTTGGTTTTCAGCGTGTATGTTCACGGACAGAAGATTTCATACTTCTTGCGGCCGCTATGGGAATCACCGCCCAAGCCTTTCCGTGATATCCCGCATTATTATCATGAGAATGTGTCGATGGAGACACTCTGCAAACTTCATGGTAGGGGAGTTCGTGAGTTTCCAAGACGGGTATACAATGCGGTGTTGTTCAGTAATGAAGTGGATATTCTTATCGTATGGTGGCAAGAGTTATATCCTTTCATTACACAATTTGTTCTTCTCGAGTCTAATTCCACATTTTCTGGAATTCCGAAGCCTATGGTGTTTGCTAGTAATCGAGATCAGTTCAAATTTGTTGAGCCCCGACTGACTTATGGGTCCATCGGAGGCAGGTTTAAGAAAGGAGAAAACCCGTTTGTTGAGGAGGCTATGCAGCGAGTAGTATTAGACCCGCTTCTCAAAATAGCTGGGATTACTGATGATGACTTGTTGATTATGTCTGATGTCGACGAGATACCAAGCAGACATACCATCAACCTATTGAGATGGTGTGATGACATTCCTCAAGTTCTTCATCTTCGGCTAAAGAATTATCTTTACTCTTTCGAGTTTCTTGTGGATGATAAAAGCTGGAGGGCGGAGGTCCACAGGTATCAGACGGATAAAACAAGATACGCACATTATCGTCAGACAGATGAGATTTTGGCGGATGCAGGGTGGCACTGCAGTTTCTGCTTCCACCACATTAGCGAGTTCGTATTCAAGATGAAAGCTAACAGCCATATCGATAGAGTGAGGTTTTCTCATTATTTGAACCCGAAAAGAATCCAGAGAGTGATTTGCAAGGGTGCCGATCTATTCGACATGCTTCCAGAGGAGTATACATTCAAGGAAATAATCGGGAAAATGGGTCCAATCCCTCATTCTTTCTCCGCTGTTCATCTTCCATCACATCTTTTAGAGAATGCAGATGAATACAAATTTCTTTTGCCTGGAAACTGTTTAAGAGAAAGTGGCTGATTCTTCTGATAACTAAATGGTTTTGGCTAGTTAGAGGCGCTACCGATGTGACTCCCCACGATGGGTTCAGCTGAAAGATCATCGACTACCGAGCAGCAGCCTCTCGACGAGTTCCCTGGGGAAATGACCTAGTGGAAAGATGATTTTGTGCGATGAATTTTACAGATGTATGACAGCGTGTGATTTTGAACAATGACGTGCAATAGAAAAAAGACAATCAACTGGTGGGATTCTAACGACAGAAGGGTGATTAGTGGCGGTTGCTTCAGCGGAGGCATGTGGAATTTAGAGATTCATGGTTAATGATTTTGAAGATTTTGGATAATTTAAAGATATTAGGAGTTTAGAAAAGTAATGATTTTAGTTCTTTAACTCAAGTTTTAAAAAAAATATTATACATACCGAGCACTGATTGTGTAACAAATTCTTTTAATGGTTAGACACCTAAAATGACAATTATTTTTTATAAAAAAAATTTAAACACTTAAAATCAATAAAATATATAATTACTACACTATCAACTATGAGTAAATTCATGAAAATATGATTAAGGTTCCAGAGTCAAAACCATAGATATAAACGTTCATAAGTATTTCTTTAAAAAAAAGTATCTAAGATCTAATATTAACTAAAACATTTAATTATTACACGATCAACTCGGTTGACATCATCAAGTCCGTAGCATAATTTGATAGCTCTGAAAATCTTGTGTAGATGTTTTTAGGCTTCTTATCGACAAATGACATCAGTAGATATAGGAATCAATTTATATCATTTTCATGATGCCCCATCTCTCTGCTGATTTTGTGAAAGTGTTAAACTACGTAGGGATGAATCTAGGAAGGTTAGGATAAGGTTGTATCTTTTAAAATCTTTAAATTCTCTTATATTTTATATTTTTTATTAATTATCTAGTTTTGCATCTATCAAATTTTATAACTCTACACTTCCAAAATTTTTAATGTAATTTCTTAAGTTTGCACAGCTTATATAAAATTTTATAACCTTACATTCTTAAAAATTTTAATAAGTACAATTAAATAATTTCATCGTTTTTTTATTTAAAAGGAAACGTGTTTTTTAACCCGACATTTTCCAAAATTTTCCTATGCTTTTATATTTTCCCAATGTGAGCAAAGTTTGGTAGAGAATTGGAATTTAAGAAAGCATAATTTGTGATTTTAGGACCAAAATGTAATGATTATTTAGTAACAATGAATACAAGTACAATGCCTGTCATCTACAAATGTATGGGAATGAGAAGTATAAAGAATTATAAGGTCAGGTTTTCGAGTATGACGCTGTACCTAATGAGAAGTTGTATTTAGTGCCTTGAAGTATGCCTTTTCCGCCCTTGAAAACCGCGTTTGGAACATGCTCCATTCCTTTTTACATCTCTCCCTTACCTGCCAATTTCACTATGCATTCATTTCACATTTCACAAAACAAGGGAAAATGGAAACACAGCAAATAGTGCATACATACCCCTTGCCACGGTGCCTTCCCGTTGTCCGACTCTCCCTGCCGGAAAACAAATTAAGCCGAGGGGAAAAAAAGGAGCAAAATTGGCAGATAAAGGAAAGTTTTCATTACCTGGTTCCCAAGAGAGGGAACAGATTGATGAACAATCCACTGAGCATCTACCACGCCAATCTTCTCATGTGCGGGCTGTTTTCAAGATATAGAGATATCCCTACTTAGTGAACAAATAAATCCTTTTTAAAGAGTTAAATGAAAGGAACTATCATGACCGGTCGATAAACGACGGATCGTGACAGGAACACACACACACAAACACGGATGGATTCAAGGACGGAAGAAGATAAACGACAGAGACGGGAGTAATAGAATGCCAACCTCTACACATTTTCTGAGGGCAAAATCAAGACCCCACCCATGGACCAAGTCATTCTACAAGAAAAACAGTAGATTGAGTAACACCAAGAAAACAATGCAAGAAGCAGCAATGTTAAAATGAACAAAATAAGAACAATCTCAATACCTGAATCATATGCCATACACAACGCCATGCATCACGTGAGAACACAGGAGCCATTATCTCCACAAACCTACATTTACAAAAGAAAAAGGAATAGTTAATATTTACTAAGCTTATGGAGAATTAAAGCATGGTATATTAACAACAATGCTCAAAGCTTATACATACGCTGCACAGGGAGGAACGTGTGGATGATTGCACCAGCCTGGTTTCTCCTCCGTTTCTCTGAACCAAAATTCAAAAATGCAAAATGTTATTTAACATTCAATGAATTATGTAAACTTCAATGATTCTTGGTATAATTGCCTACTGTTTCTTACTTGTGAACTTCACGATCACCTCTCCTCTTTGTCATTTGCCAGGTTAACCCTTTATTAGGTTCCAAACCAGGCTGTGAAATCTCCAATCCATGCTTCCTCACCAGTTTAATGTATCTGAAAAATTAAATAAATAGAACCTTGTTTTAAGGTCTTCTTTTTAAAGGAAATGGGTTGAAATTGAACAAACAATTTGTCAAGAAGTCCCGCAATGTCCAATACTCACTTTTCTGCATCGAAATGCTCAACCCCCAAGTCCTCATCCCAGATGAATATGTAGTCATATGGTGCCACGATGTCAGGGTGCAAAAACCTCTTGGCATACCACCTAGGTAAATAAAAATATTTAGAGTTAAATCTTTGAAATCATTAAGCGACATAGATAACTAGTCATTGCACCCAATCTTGCCAGCAAAATGACTTGAACTAGAAAGTCTAAATTAATTGCGTACCATTTAGTCTGCCTCCGAACACTCACATGAATTGCCTCCTTTGACCACTCAAACTCGTCCCATTCAGTTGTTCGACCGTCATAATGAAAGAGAAGAATGGTAAAATTCCCTGAAAACTGTTTTGAAGCACGTTTTTAGTCACAACATGCAATGTGCACTGCACAATCGTATGAGCATCAGAAAACCTCATCCCGATCTTAGCATCTAACTATCTTCCAAATGCCTCCAAGAAGATGTGCATAAGGATGCACCTTCACAGAAACACTCAGACAAAAAATCATGCACACTTAACGCACACAGGTGCACAGACACACATATTAAAGAGAACAATACCTTTTTAACTGCAGCATCAATATTCTTTCGTTGATTATAACCAACAGTAAATGTGACAAGATACTTTGGCGTGCTGGTCAAGTCCTGTAGATGCAAATGTTTCCAAACCGCAATCAGGGTAAGAGAAAACTCACAATATGTTTTATTCTTATCTGTAAAATTCTTAAATCTATGGACTCACACAAGTAATAATGGCTTTTATCATGTGAATGGAGATTAAAAATGCCAAAAAAAAAATTACTCAAAAACAATAAAATCTGTCTTTCTGAGATCCTGAAATGTATTAGGCATTAATGCTGAAGGAACAAAACATGCAGATATCATTTGATCCCATAGCACAAAAATCTAGCTTCCCAGAAAGTAATTCACTAATCGCCTTTTTCCTGCTTTTCAGGCTAGAGGAAAGAGGGAATTTCATATATCCAAGTTAACTCGCTAAGATACCAAATATATCACTACCATTTCTTTCCTGACCCCTTCCCTTATGTATCAAACATTCAACAATTCTACATATAGTTTGCATTTTCTGTAGAAATCAAAGTAATTCTCTGTAATTTCTTATTCTTTTCAATATAACAGATTACATATTTATATACAAAATATCTCTCTAAAGTAGGAAACTCTAAGAAAGGAAAAATAATAATCTTAGGATATGATCCCTTAAAATAAGGGATTGTAGAAATCTATTTACAAAATCATCTCTATAGGAATGGTAACAAATCATATCTCTATAGGAATGGTAACAAATCATATCTCTAATTCTTACACTCCCCCTCAAGCTGGAGAATATACATTGTATAATCCCAGCTTGAATAGGAATTTATTGAAAACAGGCTTTGGCAACGCCTTAGTAAGAATGTCTGCAACTTGTTCTTCTGAAGGAATGTATGAAAGTGTGGCTGTTTTTTTGTTAACTTGATTAGCAATAAAATGCCTATCAATCTCAACATGCTTTGTCCGATCATGTTGAACTGAGTTCTTAGCAATTTGAATAGCAGATTGATTATCACACAAAACTTCAAAGTGATCCTCTTGATTAGTGGCAAGTTCTTTCAGTAGTTTAAGTAGCCAAATCCTTCGCATATTCCCAATGTTAGTGCTCTGAAATCACCTTCAGCACTACTTGAACCGACGGATTGTTTCTTACTTCTCCAAGTTGTAAGGTTTCCCCAAACAAAAGTGCAGTAGCCACTAGTGGATCTCCTTTCAGTAAGGTCTCCGGCCCAACTAGAATCTGTAAAGATCTTAACAATTCTGTCTTGTGTCTTCTTAAACATTAAACCATGTCATGGAGTTTTCTTCAAGTACTTGAGAATTCTATTTGCTGCTGCCATATGCTCTTCAGTAGGATTAGTCATGTGTTGACTTATCACATTTACAGGAAATGTTATATTTGGCCTTGTCAAAGATAAATAAATTATTTTCCCAACTAATCTTTGAAATTTCTCTTTGTCTATTAAGGACCCATCTTCTTTGTTGAATTTCAAGCTTGCCTCCATTGGTGTATCATTCGGCTTACAACCAAGAAAACCAGTTTCTTTGAGTAAATCAAGTACATATTTTCTTTGGTTATCACAAGTCCTTTTGACCTTGCCACCCTTTCCTAGGAAATACCTTAGCTTTCCCAAGTCCTTGGTTTCGAATTCCTTATTTAACAACTTCAAATTGCAAATCTCTTCTTCATCATCTCCGGTAAGAATTATGTCGTCCACGTACACAATAAGGATAGCTTTCTTATCTATAGAAGTTACCTTGATGAAAAGAGTATGATCGGCGAGGGACTGCTTGTAGCCGTTTTTTAGGATGACTTTAGTGAACCTCTCGAACCAAGCTCTGGGTGATTGTTTTAACCCATATAGACTTGTTGGGCTTGCAAACCTTATTGCTACCTTCAGCAGACTGTAAGCCAAGTGGCATTTTCATATAGACTTTTTCTTCTAGCTGGTCATTAAGAAAAGCGTTTTTTACATCAAGTTGGTGTAAT